ATGAGTAAAGAACAACAAACACGAGTTAGTCGGGATTTTCCTCTATTTGTGAGATTCACCACAGATCCTAGTTTTTAATCTGTTCAGACCACGGGTGTCCAAAGTGTGGTGCGTGGGCCCTTTGGGATAGAAACGTAGCACTCAGTTCTGCAGCAGGATGATGATGTTGATGATGTTGATGATGCACTTACCATTTTCATCTTTAGACTTTTACTAACGGCTCTTTTGCATACCTACAATATTACAAAGCTTTATTATTCTGGACGATCAGGTAGACGTGATGTTGCCCTTTAATATAAAACCTTCTGGAAGTGAAAGTTCCTGTATCCAGCAACACGTTAGCTACATTTAAAGCTGCAGCAGTGATGTTTAGCCGTGTGGCACTTTTATGCTGCTGAATGTTCCGTGTCTGTGTCTGAACTGTATTTATACGTGTAGGTGAAGCGTCTGTCTGCACAGAGGCTCTCTAGTGAAACACGCATAGCAACCGTGTTTAAATGTACTCTTGTTGTCAATAAAAACAAACCAATGCTCTCAAGTTTCCCTCGTTCTTACACCTCCAACAGGTAAACTCAGCCATTTACACTTTAATGAAAGTTTGAGCCATAAAACCCGGTTTTGAGCTCAAAACTCAACTTAAAGGTGATGTTAGTCGTTAGAGCAAAAAGATCTTAACCCTAACCATCATAAACAAGTCCTCACGGACAGAACGGTGAGCATCAAACCAGTGAAGAGCACCACGGTCAACGGTGACGACGTGTTCAGTAGACCTGTGGAAGCAGCACGACACCACGGAGACGTTTGGGTCAGACGAACACCAGACTGCTGCCCGATGGGTCGGGGTCAGGTTTTAATAAACAGAAGCTCTCCAGACGCTCTGAAGACCTTTCAGAACATTTTCTTCAGCTGCTTTAACTCAGAGCCTCTCTGGTTTAAAATGATCGACATCCCATAATAATCACTGTTAGACTGAAAGCTGAATTTTTGAATGTTTTGCTTTATTTCTATAAAGTGGGATTTGCCACATGTTCTGTACACACACACACACACACACACACACACACACACACACACACACACACACACACACACACACACACACACACACACACACACACACACACACACACGTATGCTTCTGAGATGATTACCATACGGGCCCAGGTTTACTGATCGGATCGATGCCGATGTTGATGCACACACACGGTGCTTCCCTGGTTTAAGATGCGGCTCTCCCACGGCCACCTGTGATGTTTCATGAGCGCCTGTTCCACTGTTCTTGTGCGTTGCCATGGCGCTGCACCATCACCAGATGCCAGAGCATAAAGGACCTTTGGAGCCACACTCTGCAGCTTCGACCTGTTTGTGTTCATTCGTGTTGTTTTGGCCTCAACAATCAAAGAGAAAAGAAAGATCAGGAACTTGGTGAAGGGTGACACGGCAAACAAACCTTCGGTAACCTTCATCGCTTGTGTCACGCGTCCTCCATGTCGCCACAGGTCCCCTACACACCTGGGTCGTAACACCTAAAGACAAGACTCTCAGGTGACTTTAGGTTTATCTTCACCGACCCATAGGGATGTAAGAAAATGTCGATTATGGCAATATATCGTGATATTTTCCCCAGCGATATTATATCGATATTAAAAAGCAGTGTATCAAAAATATCGATATCGCAATATATCGTGATATTTTTTCTTGCAAAAATGTATCGATATTCCAAAGTGTCGTATCTAATTTTTGGAAGAATTTACATGGAAACATTTGTGAATTTTCTTTTCTTGTGGTGCAATTCAAACGCCGACCACTAGTTGGCAGCAGTGTGTAATGGGTTTTGATTCCAGCATTGAAATGTAAATCCCTCTGTTATGGTTAAACATGTCAAGTATCAGTTTGGACTGTTTATTGAATTTTCCTATAATAAATTTAGTCTAAAAAATCGCCAATATCGTCTGACTGAATGTATCGCAATATATCGTGATATATTGTATCGTCTCCCCTGTATCGTAATACGTATTGTATCGCCAGAATTTCACCAATACACATCCCTACCGACCCAATAACTGTTCCTAAACTAACCGTTGTGTGGAGGAGACACCAGGTTTTCAACCAAACAAAAGCTACTTCAAGAAGACAGCCACAGGCCAGAAGCTTTGAAAATCCTTTGAAACTGCTCAGGGCCGCTTCTGAAACCAGAGGAAATGGTATTTGTCTTTGGTGCACCCTCTCAGTGTGTTCAGACAGAATCGGGGACCTTCTTGTGAACCTGTTCCCACATCACCGTCCTGCAGACGCAAAAGAAATCCCACAGGTTGCAGAAAACGCCGCGGTCAAACGGGTTCTCCTCTGCTCCCCGGTCCTTCAGGTACGAGATCCTGTGACGGGACATGAACTCCCAGGTGGTGCAGTTGATGGAGATCAGGTAGAAGTGGCAGCCCAGCAGAAGCAGCACCACCACAGAGAAAATCCCAACAAAGCCTAGCGCCACCAGCAAAACGCCATTGGCTTGGAACCACAGCCCCCACTTCTCCCCTGGAAAAATCCCGGAGCTGAAACGCACACGAGTAAAAAAGATGAGTGGTTAGGAGGGTCATTGGCTTGTAAACCACTAGATCTGTCCTCTGGCCAAATCGCTGGGGAAGCCCTGCGGTGATTATCGTAGGAATAGAAGCTTTTCTCCTTGAAGTCTGTTGTTTTAATTCAGCCTGACCCTGACTCTTTATCCTGTTGTGGAGGAAGATATCCTAACGCTGCTGAGGGCACAAAGGGTCACCATAGATGAATCACAACTGTAGTGAGACGATTTTAAACTCAGAGTGTGGATGAGGGGCCGTATAAGCCATAACTCATTACTCACACACACACACACCATCCATCCATTTTCATCCACTTATCTGGAGTCGGGTCGCGGGGGCAGTAGCCTAAGGCGAGAGGCCCAGACTTCCCTCTCCCCAGCCACTTGGGCCAGCTCCTCCGGGGGAAGTCCAAGGCGTTCCCTGGCCAGGTGAGAGACATAGTCCCTCCACCGTGTCCTGGGTCTACCTTTAGGTCTCCTCCTGGTTGGACGTGCCCGGAAAACCTCAGCAGGGAGGCGTCCAGGAGGCATCCTGACCAGATGCCCGAGCCACCTCAACTGGCTCCTCTCGATGTGGAGGAACAGCGGGTCTACTCTAAGCCCCTCCCGGATGACCGAGCTTCTCACCCTATCTCTAAGGGAGAGCCCAGCCACTCTTCGGAGAAAACTCATTTCGGCCGCTTGTATCCGCGATCTCGTTCTTTTGGTCACTACCCAAAGCTCATGACCATAGGTGAGGGTAGGAACGTACGTAGACCGACCGGTAAATCGAGAGCTTCGCCTTCTGACTCAGCTCTCTCTTCACCACGACAGACCTGTACAACGCCCGCATCACTGCAGACGCAGCACCAATCCGCCTGTCGATCTCACGCTCCAGTTTTCCCTCACTCGTGAACAAGACCCCGAGATACTTAACTTCCTCCTCTTGAGGCAGGACCTCATCCCTGACCCGGAGAAGGCATTCTACCCTTTTCCGAATCAAGACCATGGTCTCAGATTTAGAGGAGCTGATTCTCATCCCAGCTGTGAAGGATGATGGTGCCTGCCTACCATCATAACCTATCATTTGGAAGTTCGGTCGGAGGTGGGAATTGAAGCTCCTTCTGACAGGAGACTCTGCCAGACGTTCCCAGCAGACCCTCACAATACGTTTGGGCCTGCCAGGTCTGACCGGCATCCTCCCCCACCATCTGAGCCAACTCACCACCAGGTAGTGGTCAGTTGACAGCTCCGCCCCTCTTTTCACCTGAGTGTGCAAGACATGCGGCCGCAGATCAGACGAAACAACAATAAAGTTGATCATTGAGCTGCGGCCTAAGGTATCCTGGTGCCAAGAGCACACATGGACACCTTTATGTCTGAACATGGAGTTCATTATGGACAATCCATTGCAGCACAGAAGTCTAATAACAAAACACCACGCAGATTCAGATCCCAGCCACACCTCTCCTGGTCTCTAACTGCAGCTTGGTGCATGAGCACAAACCATAAAGTCACTTTTTATACAGATTTTAAAATCATCCAAAGCTCTAAAAGAGACCCGCTGTCCTCGAGAACAAGCGTTCCTCTCCAAGAGAATCTGAACATTCTTGTAGAAATCCTTTTAGGGATTTTACAACAGCCGGCTGGTTTGACTCATCTGAATGCAACACGACGTTTCTCTGGCCCGCGAGAGACGAGCAGATGGATGGAGGGGGCGCGGCAGACTTACAGGGCGATGTGGACAGCCCACAGCAGAGTCAGCAGCTGCACCAGCAGGTAGACGACGAACCAGCGGTGGTTCCGCTCCCCAACGCAGTTCTCCATCCACGGGCAGTGGTGGTCGAAGCGCCGCACGCAGCGTGTGCACGTCTGACAGTGCTTCGCTCTCATTGGCTGCTGCTCAGAACAAAAACAAAAAGGCAGATGAGCCAAAAACAGCAAACTGTCCCAGCCGAGGTAATCCTTACATTTGAAGCATCTAAGCGGTAGTCTAACGCTGTTGGTTAGTTCTGGTCGGTGCTCAGTTTCCTATTGCACGGGGCTCTGCAGAGCAGGGGGCGTGGCTAGCAACAAACACGTATTGCTTACATTATATCACAGTACATGATGAGATCATCACTTTTACAGATTTCTGACAAATCAAACATCGTTACTGAAAGGGGAAACTCTGGAAAGCTGCTTTAAAGGGACTTTACGGAGTTTAGAATTTTTATGCTCGCGATCGCCCCCTCAGGCCAAAAGCGTAACGGCAGCTTCAATAGTAGGCTCGTGCACGAGGCGCGCATGCTGTACATGCACACTCCTTAACGAAAATAACAGCTGAGACAGTCCTGTGTGTGTGTGTGTGTGTGTGTGGCCCGGAGGACAGAGGACAGGAGAACGTGCAGCTAATTAATTGAATAATTTGGTTTTGTAACTTTCTCTTCAGCACAGCCGACAAAGGTTTATGATGGGTCAGTCCTCCTGCATGCTCAGATCATTCCCTTCCCTTGCTTGAAAAATTTTTCCAAAATGAAAGTTGAACCCACATCTTTTTTATCTGTGAATTCAATGCCGTTCGGCAAGTCTCAAATAAAAATTTGGGCATCTTACTGTAAAAAAATATACCATTAATGTAAAAAAGACACTCCAAACAAACTATGTTCACATCCAGAATCGAACCCGGGTCTTCTGCACGAGAGTCTGACATCTTACCAGGTGAGCTATAGCTTCAGTGATGTGTTGTGTATCTGTAACTTTTATATCCTTGATGACAGCTGAAACAACGTTCCAAGAACGGTTCGGAGCAAAAATGGCTATTTTGTTGCTAATTTGCAGGAAATATCTAGAAGAAAGTAGCTAAGGGTCGTCAGAAATGTAGCTAGGTTCATCACTAGGCATTAGGAACAGCGACAAATTATTATTTCTATACATGTTTTGGCTGTCAAACTTCCATAATGCCCCTTTAAAGGGACTATAAAGAAGTTTGACAGCCAAAACATGTATAGAAATAATAAATGTCTTCTTCATACATTCTCCTGCAATGCCCTGGTCCTGTAGAATGAGCCCTGGCATTTTTACTGTGATTGCCTGTTTTTCTGTAAAATCACAGAAAGAGAGCTGCTCGGGTCGAGCAGGCTGCTTCATGCGCGTTCACGCTCAGGCATAGTCCGTAGCATTTGCCATCAGTAGCTTTAGCAGCAGAGAGAGAGGCAGTGCCACTTTGTCGCTGTTCCTAATGCCTAGTGACAAAGCTAGCTACATTTCTGAGGACCCTTAGCTACTTTCTGTAGAACTTTCTTCTAGATATTTCCTGCAAATTAGCAACAAAATAGCCATTTTCGCTCCGAATCGTTCTTTGAACGTTGTTTCAGCTGTCATCAAGGATATAAATGTTACAGATACGCCAAATGTTACTGGTGCGTAGCTCACCTTGTAAGATGTCTGACTCTCATGCAGAAGACCTGGCACGTGTGTGTGTGTGTGTGTGTGTGTGTGTGTGTGTGTGTGTGTGTGTGTGTGTGTGTGTGTGTGTGTGTGTGTGTGTGTGTGTGTGTGTGTGTGTGTGTGTGGGGTGGGTGGGTGGGTGGGTGGGAGGAGGGAGAAACAAAGGGGATCTCTGATGTGAATCTGTGTGGGAGGGGTGGGAAACCGACTGCTGCCTGGTTGTGTTTAATATTGTAAAGCGCTTTGAGCTGCATTTGCATGAAAAGCGCTTCATAAATAAATTTTGATTTGATGATTTTGAAGGACGAAAACAGAGAAAAGTTGCCAAATCCCAAAGAAAAACACAGAGAACTGCTACCTTGGACAACATCAGGGGGTTACAAGAAGGTTTAGGTGTTTAAAGAAAAATGCTGGATGAGGAGAAGTGTGACACCGCTGAGGAACTCTGGTGGCAGCTTACCTGCAGCAGACAGAAGCCACAGCGCCGCAGCCGAGGGGTCGACGGCTGAGAAATCATCAACTCCGTTTCTTCACCTATACCCTGACCGGTCTGCGTAAGAGACAGGTTTGGGTCACATGGTGCACATCTGCAAATCCTCACATCCACTGTGACCCTTTCACCCGGAGTACGGCAGTCGGGTGTTTAAGGCGAAACGTGACTCTCTTACTGGCTGGAGCTCACCTTTAGCGTGTCGGAGAGAACGAATCCTGGATCCATTAAGGAGACGGTGAAGTACAGGAGCACCGACAACGTGACGAGCAGGAAGAACAGAGCCGGCGGCAGCAGCTCTCCTCGCTCCTCACATCTCCGCAAATCTGCACCCATCACAAGACTTCACGATCAGAATGACAACAATAAGGAATCCTGGAATGTTTTCCGTTCAGCCGCTGAGCTCCACATTAGTTTAACTGATAAAGGACCCGCACCTGTGTAGCGCCTCAGAGTCAGGACTCCAAAGCGCTTTACAGTTTACCTGAACACTGATTAGTTTGCAGTTTTAGACGTTTGGGATGAAAACAGGTTTTCATCACTGATGTAGCAGCTTGTGTGTGTGTGTGTGTGTGTGTGTGTGTGTGTGTGGGCGTGTGTGTGTGTTTATTAAAATCTGGATGAATTGACCGGAAGAGCAGAAACATCTTTTAGGAAAAAGGAAATTCCAACGCGAACACTCAGAAATAACAACAGTTAAAAGAATGACGACACAAATTAATGAATAAAATCCTTCTTAGCCGTTAAAACTCACCGGTGTTGCTCAAAAACAGAATGAGAGTTATGACCCACGTTAGTAAAGTGAACGCGGTTCGGACCAGTAAACCAGTCCGGAACATGTTCTGGACCGGTTTCAAACACTGCAGACGTATAAAACCACACTGGAAGCTTTTAACTGTGGTAGAAAACTGGAGTAAATCTAGTTGTGGAGCTAGTTTTGGCTGCTGCGCATGCGTTCATCATTTCCTTGTTTTGGTACGGAAGCCTTCGGAGGCCAAACCGAACTCAACTGGGGAATCCCAAAAGTATCAAAGCAACATTTACGCTTGAATGTTTCCATATAAGACCAACATATGAAAACCTATTAGATGAAAATAAACTGCTTTGTTATTATAACACTTTAATCCGTGTTACTGGTCTAATATGTGGATTTAACTGGATTAAAGACATTCATTTTAATCTGACCGCATTTAATCTAGTTCCATGTATTTAAATTAGTTAAGGACGTATAAAGCAAACAAAAGTCCTAAATATTTGGTTACTTTGGACCGAACTTATTTGGCTTTTGAATTTCTTTCAGATAAATAGAAATATTTGATCAAGAGTTTATATTATTAGATTTTTGTAGAATTTTAAATCCAATCCAACACAACACCATCAACCAACGTGCTTCACACACAGACAAAAACATACCGACACAGTTATAAACATGGATAATATATTAAAACATACAAAAACCCTGTAAAAGAAATAAAACACTTAAAAATACGAGTGGATAAGAATAACATCCAGTGAATAATAGTGAGTCTTGAGGGACTTAAAAACAACCAGAAGATGGCTAGAAGCTGGTTCTGAAGTCTAGGAGCAGCAGCGGAAAAGGACCCATCTCCTCTCAGCTTCAGCCTGGATCCTGGAGCCACCAACTGCTGCTGGTCAGCCATTTAGTGGAATAAAGCACAAATTCAGTTTGCCTGTTATAAAAACAGAAAAACACATTTCAATATGAATAATCTCAGATTAAACCTCCTGAGACCCACATTTTTATTTGGTGTGATTTCCAAGAACAAACAATTCTAGCTCAGTGGATTAGTCGACTCATGAATGAGAACATTTTAGGGTGCTAGAAGCCACATGTGGACACGGGTTGGACTGGGGTGTTCCCGAGCGCCGGGATGGCCCAAATGTGGAGTTGTGACTTCTCCAGTGTGTGATGAGGGCTGATGGGACTCTAATCTCTGGAATAATCTGCTCTTTAAATTTTCTTTTCTTTTGGGTTTTTATGCCACAGAAGATGGAGGTGATATATCAGATGAAACAAGATAAAATACATTTAAGGACTTTATCTTCAAGCAGCTTAATCCAGAGCAAATCTACTTCCTTTTTCTGTGTCGGTAGTTTTTCCAGGTCTGTTTGCTTCAGTGTGTTTCTGTGAGGTTGAACCATTCCCGGAGCTTTAGGTTAGTTTGGAAGCTCCAGTTTTTTCTTCCATAAATACTTTTTGTTCAGCAATAATCCACCCGACTCACATCGAGTTAGAAAGCTTTAGTAATCGAGCCTTTTAACTGAATCAAAGACACAAAAATGACAAGTCAACATTTACATTTATGTGCATTTATTATCATCATCAAAAAGGTCAGTTACATTAAAACACTAAAATTAAGGACAAACAACATTATCTTGCATTGGCGAGTCATTTAGAGGCCTTTCTAACATCCATTAAAGTGCAAAATGCTGCTGGGCTTTTCCTCGACGGCCTTTTCCTGCAGTGAGCGACAACAACTCCCTTAAACTGAGATGAACTTAGACGATGTTGACTCTTAAAACGACGCTCACAAACACGACGCTGCAGAAAGAAGCCCACAGCGTCCGGAGGTCCAGGCGCTAATCCACGACATCGTTTAACAGCTAAATCGGCTTTAAAGCAACAATGACTCGGTCGTCTCCACCAGACAAGAGAAATAAATACAGGGAGGGTGGAAATAAATAAGCAAACCAGCCATGGACACAGGAGGGGCGGGGACAAACCGAGCTGCTACAGAAGACTTCCTGAGTGCTGATGGTGCTTTTTAGTTTCACAACACCACATCTCCGCGTTTGACGACTAAACATTTGGTCCTCGTCACCGTTCACCCCTCATAGCAGCAGTATTTCTGACAACCTGAGCTCACAGAGTCCATATTTCCTTTGTCAGCCGACATTCACAGAATGGGACGGCTACTCCAGCCTCCAGAGGGCCCGGTGGACCCCGACAGGAGAAAGTTTGGCGATTCTGGTGCGTTTGTCTGCCTTCAGCGGGACGTGACTCCCAGCTGAGTCTTAAGCTGCTCGTAGACCACGTAGCTGATGCTGACGGCGGGGATGACTTTCAGGAAGTTGGGGGCCAGGCCTCTGTACAGCCCTGTCGGACCTTCGTTCTGCAGGATCTGCCTGAGGAGTCCGCTCATGGACAGCTGCTGATTCCCTTCAGTCACAGCTGGGAGAAAGAAACCCGTAGAGATTCAGGTACGGTCTAAACCCAGACGCCGCCATTTACCAACACGGTGAAACAGATGAGAAGACCTACCTTGAGCCTGCATCCGGGTTCGGATCAGAGCCAGCGGGTAGCTGGCGAGCTGACCACAGGTGCTGGACACGGTACCGCAGGCCAGCAGGACGAGCACGCCGGGGTCGGAGCTGTTGGTGCCGTACGTCTGCAGGTAGGAGTTCTTCAGAGTCTGTCGGGACAACACGAGTGAGTCAAGCTAGTCAGCTCTGGGTGACGCGTAAGGTCCGCGTTAGAAACGGCGGATCCGGCTCACCTCGTACACCGCCAGGTCGATGCCCGCGTACGGGACGATTCCCAACATGTTTGGGACGTAGCCTTTATAAAACGCTCCCAGTCCTTCCCTCCGGAAAATCTGCTTGGCACAGTCTGAAATCCCAGCGTACTGGCCGGTCTTCCTCAGCGCCAGGCGGGTTTTTAGAACCTGGGGACAGATCCGAGTTACTGGGACCGTTCCTAAGCCTCTGGACTTCAGACGAGAGGTAAACAGAGAGATAGTCACCTCCATGGGGTAGATGGAGCTCTGGGCGATCACGCCTGCCAAAGACCCAGCAGCAAACCGCTCCAAGATGCTCAGAGACTCGTTATCGCTGCCGATCAGACGCTTAATCTGGAAGAGCCGGTTCAAAAGCACATTAGTGACCGGCGCCAGGAACACGAGGCGTCCCAACAGGAAGTCACTGCTCTACCTGCTCATAAGCCATAAACTTCAGGGCTGATTCTGGAGCAATCTTGATGACGTTCACACCGTTCCCCCGCCACAACGACCTCATACCGCCCTCTTTGATCATCTGCATGAGTCCACTCATGATGCACATGTTGTTGGTTCTGGTTCCGTAGACCTAACGGGACGACAGAAAAAGCAGGTGAAGTGAGTTCGGGGTAGATCTGGAATGCTGACAATCCAGGCCAGCGGGGTCTGGTTTGTGTTGTAGAACTACGGGTCTATCGGGGTCAAAGTTCAGACGGCTGACGTAAATCAGACCTGCTGGTAACGCAGGCACACGCAGACCTTAACCCCCGATGACGGCGAATACTACAGGAGAGCTGCCATTGGTCAACAGGAGCCGGAGAATGGGAACATGGACTCTGACCTATGACACGGCCAATGCTAATCATCAACCGGTTGGAACCGTTGGGTAACTCGCTGTTGAGCAACAACGTTTCTAGAGGTGAACTAAGACCTGATAAATGTCCCCGAGACCTAGACGCTCCAGCTCCTCACCTGCATCATGACTTTGAGTCGGTCCAGCGGCGCCGTGCAGGTTCTGGAAACGACTCCAGCTCCTCCGCCTGCTACCAGGTGCCTCCACCACATCCCAGTCTGCCTTTCCTCAGTGGTGAACTCATCGGGCACCATCAGGTTCTCGCCAACGTCAAATATCTGCAGGGAGGACAGAACGTTTAGTTACACGCGTGTTCCGGTCGAGCGTCTTCAAGCATTTCTGAACATCCTTCTAGTCGCGCTCAGAAGCAACGCGTGAGAAACACGAACACGGGTCCGATTCTTCCAACAGGAAGGTCAAGGTGAGCTCTGTGTTCAGAGGTCAAGAACAGGAAGCGGGCGTGGCCAGTAAGCACAAGAAGACACGGTGAAATGATCACTAGTGAGTTTAGAATTTCTGCAGCCTCCTAGAATAAAAACAAAATTGGGTCAGAGTTGGGCTTGGAACCAGCCTTTACACACCTGTAAAGGTCAGGTTAAAGGTCAGAAATAGCCCACCTTTAAACCTGTTTTCACACAGCAGCTCCGGTTTCAGCACTAATTCTCAAGTGTTCTTGGCCCACAGAGCAGGCCAGGCCCGGTTCTATTCTGAGCCCTGAAAATAACCCCTGAGGAGCAGAGCCAGCGCCGGTTCTGACGCGCTGCTGTCCTCGTTTAAATCAGAACATCCTCCCTCTAATCCTGCTGGGAACGGAACCGCTCTCTTCTCGCGCCAACGACGCGCCGCAGGAGCGGTTTGTTCCAGACACCAAGTGAAACACGCTTCTGTCAGAGGTCACGGAGAGACGACCCTGGCCTTTGACTAAAGCAGCTGGTTTTGACTATCTGATCAGGCTTTGGTAGAGAGAGGAACCAACCGTGGAGTGTTTCCAGTAAAGAATGATCTCAGGAACATGTTCAGTCTTCTCCACCACCGGGTGCTGACTCCAGTCTTTACTGCTGATGGTTATCATGCCGTTCTTATCCATGCTGCAGACATAATAAATAAAGTCAATGTTGGTGTCTAATAATCCAAAGAAGGCAGCAGATTAGCTGGATGTTTTACCTCTCCAGCGCTTTACGTGCATGCTGCAGGGAAATGTGAACTCCGAGGTCACGGAGGGACTGCATGAACTCTTTGGGGTCGACACGACCTAAAAACGCCAGAGCCAGCGGTTTAGTGACGCTGGAGCGATGAAATGACACTAACCAGGTGTGAAACTTCACGCACTCACCTGCATTCTTCTTGTCGAGACTCTTCACCACAAGCTTCAGCTCTTTCTCGTAGGCTTCTAGATAATGAACAAACTCCTCGAAGTCCAGCTGTCCGTCTGCATCGTTTTCTTCCCTTTTTAAAGTTTTCTGCAACAAAAAGTTGAAATGATTAATGGAACAGACGCTGAGATGATGCTACTGGCTGCTGTTTACAGGGACAACGATGCTGGATTTAGGACAGGTCTGGCAGCAACAGTCTGGTTATGAAGGAGGTCAAAACTGGGTCACATCACAGCAAAGCCATCACGGCCCGGCTATCTTTAACCTCCTGCCAACGGTTTAAATCTGGACGGGCACTGGCTGTCCTCCAGGACACTGAACCGGACCGACACCTGACCTGCAGAAGCGCCTGACCGTGAAAGCGTTTTTTCAGCTGGACTTTCCTGTTAGAACACAGGTAAGTCCAGTAGGTGGCGCTGCTAGCCAACACACGGAGCCAGCTCCTTGTCCCCCGAACCGAACCCACTCCGGTTCAGAATCGCTTCTTAAGGCACTTTCATAAATAAAAAAAACACCATTTCATCCAGAAATATTAACTAAATAAAAGCCAGATTTACAGGGACCGACTTTTACGATGATCGCAAAGTGTGAACGGAACGTGAGGAATGTTCTGGACACCATTTTCCTCCCGAGGCCTGCGGCTCAGCCACTTCCGCCCGCCTAAAACTACTTTATCATTCAAATCGAACTTTATTCACACGTAGGTGGTGTGCAACACACCCAAGGAGATTACTTCGTTTAATTAAAAAAAAAAGTCTTACTTTCCGCCATTTTTCGTAGGTTGAAAACTCCTGAGACGGGAGGAACACGCTGAGTTTGTTAAAGAGGGACTTCAGCTCCGTCGGTAGTCCGTTAGACTCAAAGTACTCCACTTCCACGGGGTCCGCGTTGGACACGGGCACGTAGAGGCACAGTCCGAGCATGTTCGGCTCCGGTAAATCACAAAGACACTACAATAAATAAATAAGTATTACTCCTCGCTCGGCGTCTTCACCGCCCGGTTGGAGCCCAAGTGCCGGTTACGCGAGCAGCCGGCTTCTGAAGTAAGCCACTAGGCCCCGCCTCTTACAGGAACAGTGACGTATTTTACTACCAACCAATCAGCGAAGCTTCCCATTGATAAGAAAGGTCGAGATGAGGACGCATGGGGCTGGTCAGCCTCCTCTTGCGTAATTTCAATGGAGCCATTAAATGGATGGACCATCTTTGAGACACCTTCTGCTTTAGATAACATTCTTTATATATATTACCCCGCAGAGTATCAAAAAGATTAATTCAATAATATGTCATTTTATTTGGCGCAATAAAATACACCATGTTAAAAAATCACAACTGGTTAAAAACTACACTAAAGGAGGAAATTAAGACAATTCATTTCCCATCTATGGTAGGAGTTTTCAAAATAAATTGGCTAAAAGCTTATCTTTTAAAACTTTTAAAACTCAATATGGTTCCATATCCCAATGAATATGTTTAAAATGGTGGGAGGGTTGGAGTTCCTTTTGAAATGTGATTTTGACATATCGAGGTTACCTATCAAGCTGTCAGAATATCACAAACAAATATTGTTTTACTGGAAGATGGTGTTTAATCACAACTTCGTTCCCCATGGCTTCACCTTGTGGAATAAAAGGACAATTACAACAAATAGGAAATCATTATTTATAGATAAGTGGTATGAAAAAGGAATTATTTTTGTTACAGATTTACTAGATTCAAAAGGTCAGTGTCTTGAAATAAAGGCTTTTAATGGAAAATATAATATCCAATATTCACTTAGAGAATACAACAAAATTTGTCAAGCGATCCCTTTGCCCTTGTTGCATTTGATAGAAAATCATTTAATGTATAATCAAAGTCAAATAAGCTTACCTTTGTTGCAGTTAAAACAGATTCCTTTAATGAATAAAAAGTGTAACAAAACCATAAATAAACTAAAGAAATTTCATTTCATGAATTTAACAAAAACATTAAACTAAAGGGATGTAATATTAAGATAAATCAGAAATATATAAACTTTTTCAAATGGCCTATCCCCCAAAAGATTAAGGAAATGCAGTTTAAAACAATAAAGGAATATTACCCAGCAGCTCAAATGCTTAAAAAAACGATTCGGTTTTGAGGTGAAACTACATGGTTTTTGTTTACAAGAAGAAGAGAGTGTTGAACATTTGTTTTTTGTTTTTTTCTTGTTCTGTAACATCTAACTTTTGGCTGGACATGGTAAACTGGATGGGAATAACAATTAACAGAAAGAGTCAGCTGACAGTTGTTGTGGTGTGAAATATTAATTTAAGATTTAAATTAATATCAAAGTTTATTTATTAAACAGAAGATTCAGTGAGATTCTTTTCATTCGATAAACTGGAAATGCAACCCTTTTCTGTGTTTTGTTTCAATAATGAGGCAAGTTTAAAAATGAAAAAATTTATTCACTAACAATTTTAAACTGAAAATTTGAAGCAACAATTATAAAAATGACAACTCATAAATGGCAATTTTGATAACAATCCTTAACAGCTTTGATGTTACTTTTTTAAAAGCAAACCTGTGTTGGATGAAGCTAAAATTGACAATGAGTTTTGAATGCGTGAATGCAGTTCTCAGAAGGTTTCTTTCAGAGGGAATGGAAGGTGTTCTGGATGAAATGATGTTTTGCAGATAACAGAGTTATTTTTAGAGAAAACAGCATCAAACACATTCTATTGTGTTCTATCTCACCCGAAACAGGGCCCCCTTTGCGGATCCGGACATCAGAAGGATGGTTTCATCCAAGGTGGCACTTCGGCTGGAACGGTAGACGCAAGTGCCGATGGTCCGGTACAGAGATGTCCTGGGTACATGGCTATGCGAAGCGTTTGGCAGATGCACGTTCTCGTATTTAAATTTACTTCAGAAATCAATGACTCTGGGAGAGTCTTGCGTTAGCTCATTAGTTTCATTTGTTCTTTAGCCATTCTGGTCGGCGTGACCCAACAGCTTGCAGAGGGTCAAGGAGATGGCCGCTCTCCTTTCCTCGTGGTGTTGGTTGAAGAACTGGACGTGAAATCTGTAATGGTTAGTTTTTACCAAACTCTCTCAGAAGACCTCCCTCTCTCTCCGGAGGAAAGCTTGGTCATGCGTCAAAAAACATGTGCTGCAGTTATTGTTTATCTGAACTCTGTGTTAGCTGACAGTGAAGGTCTTCTTTGCTGAACACATCTTTAATCATTATAATAATTATCATTATAATACCCAAAGCATAATAATCCATTTCATGTAATTAAAATACCTTTATACCTGAACCAAGTGATCATGTATTAATGAATATTTAAACAGTAATAAAATCATCACCACATCCTCGTCCAGCAGAGATTACACCCTCGTCTTTCCAAGTGACTCCGCTTGTCCAGGTCCAGTGGTAATTCCCGGGTTTGCACCGCATCCATGTCCAGCGGTGGACCCAGGGTCCGCACCACATCAATGTCCAGCGGGGTTCCCACCTCCGTCTGTCCGAAAGGATCCGTCTATCCTGCTCCAGCGGTGGTCCCGAGGGTCGCATCGCATCCTGCTCCAGCGGTGGTCCCGAGGGTCGCATCGCATCCTGTCCCAGCGATGGTCCCGAAGGTCGCATTGCATCATGCTTCGGCGGTGTTCCCGGTGGACGCATCGCATCCTGCTTCGGCGGTGGTCCCGGAGGACGCATCGCATCCTGCTTCGGCGGCGGTCCCGGAGGACACATCGCACCCTGCTCCAGCGGTGGTCCCGAGGGTCGCATCGCATCCTGTCCCAGCGATGGTCCCAAAGGTCGCATTGCATCATGCTTCGGCGGTGTTCCCGGTGGACGCATCGCATCCTGCTTCGGCGGTGGTCCCGGAGGACGCATCGCATCCTGCTTCGGCGGCGGTCCCGGAGGACACATCGCATCCTGCTTCGGCGGTGGTCCCGGAGGACGCATCGCATCCTGCCTCGGCGGTGGTCCCGGAGGACGCATCGCATCCTGTTCAGCTCGTCCATGAGGTTCAGGTCCAGACCGTCCACGAGGCGCTGGTCCAGCCTGTTACAGAGTTCCCGTCTCCAGAGTTCCCAGAGTCTTCATCCTTGTCTCCAGAGTTCCGGTCTCCAGAGTTCCCAGAGTCTACGCCCCTGTCTCCAGAGTTCCCATTTCCAGAGTTCCCAGAGTCTACGCCCCTGTCTCCAGAGTTCCCATTTCCAGAGTTCCCAGAGTCTATGTTCCCGTCTCCAGAGTTCCCGTCTCCAGAGTTCCTGTCTCCCCCAGTCCCAGAGTCTACGTCCCTGTCTCCAGAGTTCCCGTCTCCCCCAGTCCCAGAGTCTACGTCCCTGTCTCCAGAGTTCCCGTCTCCCCCAGTCCCAGAGTCTACGTCCCTGTCTCCAGAGTCCCCTCGTAGTTGAAGTCTAGAGTTCCCTCAGTCTCCAGCGTCCCCTCTTAGTCGTAGTCCAGCGTCCCCTCTTAGTCGTAGTCCAGTGTCCCCTCTTAGTCATAGTCCAGTGTCCCCTCTTAGTCGTAGTCCAGCGTCCCCTCTTAGTCGTAGTCCAGCGTCCCCTCTTAGTCGTAGTCCAGCGTCCCCTCTTAGTCGTAGTCCAGCGTCCCCTCTTAGTCGTAGTCCAGCGTCCCCTCTTAGTCGTAGTCCAGCGTCCCCTCTTAGTCGTAGTCCAGCGTCCCCTCTTAGTCGTAGTCCAGCGTCCCCTCTTAGTCGTAGTCCAGCGTCCCCTCTTAGTCGTAGTCCAGCGTCCCCTCTTAGTCGTAGTCCAGCGTCCCCTCTTAGTCGTAGTCCAGCGTCCCCTCTTACTCGTAGTCCAGCGTCCCCTCTTACTCGTAGTCCAGTGTCCCCTCTTAGTCGCAGTTCAGCGTCCCCTCTTAGTCGTAGTCCAGTGTCCCCTCTTAGTCGCAGTTCAGCGTCCCCTCTTAGTCGTAGTCCAGTGTCCCCTCTTAGTCGTCGTCCAGTGTCCCCTCTTAGTCGTCATCCAGTGTCCCCTCTTAGTCGTCATCCAGTGTCCCCTCTTAGTCGTCCTCCAGTGTCCCCTCAGTGTCTTAGCCCGGAGTCCCCTCTTAGTTGTCCTCCTCTAGTGTCCCCTCAGTGTCTTTGCCCGGAGTCCCCTCTCAGTCGTCCTCCTCTAGTGTCCCCTCAGTGTGTTAGCCCAGAGTCCCCTCTTAGTCGTCCTCCTCTAGTGTCCCCTCAGTGTCTTAGCCCGGAGTCCCCTCTTAGTCGTCCTCCTCCAGTGTCCTCTATCCCCCGACTTCCACAGTCCCGGCTCCTGGTTCCCCGTCTCCGGCCCCCCAGACCCCCACTGTCCCGGCTCCTGGTTCCCTGTAGCCGGCCCCCCAGACCCCTGCAGTCCCGGCTCCTGGTTCCCCGTCGCCGGCCCCCCAGACTCTTCTGGCCCTCCTTCCTGGTCCGCCTTCTCCCGCCCTGCTCTGGTTTCCTGTGGGCGTCTTGAATCCGCCCTTGGGGGGGGGGGGGGGGGGGGGGGGTTCTGTCATGACTCCCATCCTTCACCCTCCTCTGCCTCCTCATTTAACCTTCATTCAGCTCACCTGGTCCCTTCACCAAGCTCCTGACAAGCCCTGTTTTCCCTGGCAACCACAATCAGCTTCATCCACTTCACCTGCTCCTGACTCCTCAGCTCATCACTCACACTTGCTTCCCCTGCTATATATTCACCAGTCAGCCACCAGTTCCCTGCCAGATTATTGAAAACTTCGTGCCAGTAGATCTTCCAGCTATTCTGTGTAAACTGTGTCCAATACTGTGAAATTGATGTTTTGTGTATTAAAATAGCTAAACCTCTTTGCCTAGAGTTATAGCAGGCAGAGAACATGCTGGGAAACTCAGGTGTTTTAAGTTCATCTGCGGATGTGGCAGATCTATGAGTCTCTTATAAGAATATTACATCTGCTTGCACTCTCTTTAACTGATCAAAAATCTTTAATCTTTTCTCTCTGGAGCCAGCTCCATGTACGTTCCGTGAGACAAACCTTAGTGCACCCATAGATGTGTGTGAGTAGCTAAAATATGACGCCTTCAT